ACCCCAAATGCCCTATGCTGCAATAAATACCCCAATAATTCTGCAACATCTCTAAGTTCTCAAGTCCCTCAGCGCTAAGTCCTTTCTATGCTACTAATGCTGCAATAATCCACTGCTATCTAAGTTAGTTTCCTAAATTAGCAAATATGATATGAATAGTGATAATATAATAGTCACACTTTCTCTACTTAAGCAATAACTTGAAAGTATACTGTATGAGAAGGTTAGATCCTATTGTCCGGGTCACAATGTCACATAGTATAAGTATGATATGTGTGACAAAATTCTTAAAAATGAAACTTTGAATAAGCTGTGCACTGTAGGATGCAAACAACCAGATGTGACACTGGTATGTGATGCCATAAAGAAGCTATTATATAACCCTATCCAAACTTAGGTTGAAGACAGTTCCTCGCTCATGCTGCTACATTTGTCACATAGTGTGACAAACTTCCAAAAAGGAATTTTTTACTGTTTGACAGTATAATTATCAGTGAATGTCACAGATCATCACAAAATCAAAGTTGTGTATTTTGACTATATAAACAACTTTCATTAAATGACTTATTGTCCCAGCTGAATAATTGTGCTTGCACTAGCCAATCATTAGCTGATCTATACCTGATCTAGTAATACAACTTACATAAGTCATTGAAGCACTATCAATGGTACCTGAATGATAAGATTAATATTCTTGATAATGAAATCTTATCAATATACCTATATCATCTCATAATGATTCATCACATGCATTGATGCTGCAATATCTCCACCAAGTCTGCATGAATTCAGATGATTATTGTCCTACCAGGTAGCCAGTTATCAAAGCTTGAGATGTCTTGATGTGATTATAGTTCCATGGGTTGAGGTCATAATATTATACCGGTTTTTTTCTAGGTTTCATATTTTAAATTTAACTAGGCACAATGATCCCTTGATATCTTGCTGAGGAATCCACGGATAAGTGGGATCCAAGTTGCATTCTGATCTAATCGATGTCTATCTCAGATCTAGTAGTCCCTATAATTTTAAGTATTATTTCTACTGGTATATATGACATATATCCTATTATACCAATCTCCCAATAACTCACTGAGAAGTGAGAGGTCCCCAATGGAATAAGGGTAGGAAGCATACAGAGGGGTCCCCCAATGAGATTAAATTTCTCACACTACATTATATGCATTGAAAATCTTATTATTCCCTATTATACTGACGAATAGTACTATACATCACACTGGCAAACCAGCCATGATCTGCTAGTTGATGATGGATCAAAATATATCAAGTTCAGTTAATAAGGTATATATAGATACCCACATACTCTGACTGGTCTTGATATATTCTTAGAAGATGAATTGAGGTAAACATTCCAAGACAGGTTGAGTGCAGAACTGGTTTACATGAATAGTAGGGTCTATAGACTGAGTACTGGACATTGAGATGCATGTATGAGGGTATTTTGACGTCTACTAGGACCCTGTACTGTGATCAGTTGTGGTTCTGGCATATGTTACAGAAGGTAACTGAAGAGAGGGTAGGTACCCATAGAGCAAAAGAGAGTGTCTTCACTATTACAACTGGTCAGAAATTAATTTCAAGTATGATCCAAGAATTGAATGTAGGATTATATAGACCTTCAAATAAACCTGTCCAGCACTTGAATTAACCTCATAGCTATTCTGGATCTCTCACAGTACCATTATCAGTGTTATCTATCCCAAAAATGATGAGTTCGCTATATAATAACCTTTGTGAATCTCACTAGTTTGAGTATATATACTGGTAGGGGTATCATGCACCTCTTAGGAAATGGTGCCCCCACCCTTTCGGCATATCTCTATCCTGTGTTATATAGCACCTAAGGTCCCTGGGAATTGAATGACCCTCAAACTTGCTGTGGACTTAGAAATGGGTAGAAGTGTGGAAGACTATTACATGGCATTATATGAACTTAGATCATAAGATTCCATCCATTTATTCCCAGGATATCAGCGAAATACTGCTCAATTTGGTATTCAGGCATGCTTAACAGTGAATAGATCAAGGTAATAGCAACATAAAATGTCACTGGTGAGGCTCAAGGATAGTAGGAAGATATACCTTTCAAATAAACTCTTTCCCAGCTTTATCCACCAAACATAGCTGGAGATATATGCTCATCTTTCAAAGCTGATAAAGATTAAAGGCCACTGATGGGTCAATGCATTGCACTTTCAGTGCTATATTTACTGGGATTTGAGTGAATACACACCAGAGGCTCACATTGAAGCAGCCAAACTCACAACTTAGCTACCTTATATTTTTTAAGTACTAGATATTCTTCTTTTAATGACTCAATAGTTAATATGGTAATCATATCAGATGACAACAATCAAAATACCTTATCAATCCATAGTACTTTTGAGACCCCTCCTCCTAGTACTTCATTCATGCATTTAGCTCAAGCGGTTATAGAGATAGAGGCCCATCAGTTATATTTGATCTAGTGATGTGTCAGTGCTAGCACATTTATTAAGCTGCCACAATAGGTTATTTAATGACAGTTTTTTATATAGTCAAAATACACAACTTTGATTTTGTGACAATATGTGACATTCTTTGATGATTCTGCTGTTCAACTGCAAAAAATCCTTTTTTAGGAGATATGTCACACTTGTAACATTGTATACTGTTATATAATAGTATATATATAGCTGAAACCAGCCTCTGATCACCAATATGTATGCTATAATATAGAGAGTAAAAAACAAATAAATGTCACAAACTTATCAACTGACAAAGTTTCCTTTTTTGGAGTTTGTCACACTTGTCATACTATGTGACATTGCCTCTAAGGTACCATCCAACGATCTGACCTCCTTACACAGTATACTTTAAAGTTTTTGGCTTATATATGACTAATTATCCCTATTTATGTCATACTTGCTAATTTAGGAAACTAACTTAGATAGCAGGGATTATTGCAGCATTAGCAGCGTAGAAGGGACTTAGCGCTGAGGGACTTGAGAACTTAGAGATGTTGCAGAATTATTGGGGTATTTATTGCAGCATAGGGCATTTGGGGTCATCCCTTCATATTAGAATGTGCAGCCCAGCAGGCCGTTCATTCTACTATGAAAGGATAAGTGGAATTAGTAGGTGGACAAACTGATATCCAACCCATTTGGGTAAGCAAAAAAAAATCAAAATTTTTTATACAGCCATCTCTGGGCCCACATACTTCCATTTCATATATGTTCTGAACTGACAGTATATACTTAGTGCAGGGCACTAGCAGTGGAAGCGCTGAAGATCAGTCCGGACTTCAAATGGCAAATGACATGCATGATTGATATCAGCTTTCACACATGACTCGCCAAATGCAGTGCAGTGCTCGACATCTTTCTTCCTTTTCCCCCATCATCCTCCACTTCCATGTCCTGCACCCCCCGCCCTTTCCTGCCCATCCTCACCTCCACCTTCTCAAGCTCTCGCACATCAATGCCTCAAGCCTAGCAAGACTTCAAACTTGATGTCTCGCACCTCAAGAGTGATGTGGTCCCAACTTGGATTCTCTCAGTTGCAAGTCTGTAATCAAGGCTAACTGCCTCGATGGCCGGTCCCAGCTGCAACATTTGTGCATTGGTGAAGTATTGCGGCGCCGGCAGCAGTTGAAGCAGTGGTACGTCATCTGTTTGGTTTTCTCTATCCAGCGCTGACCGGTATGCTTTCGGGGGCAGGGCAGGCAGGAGTGCGGGTGCAGAGTGGCACAGGCCAACCCCAGCAAACAAGACGGGCCACAACACGGCGGTGGCGGCGGATGGAAGACTACGAGTGGCCCCTCCGATTTTACTCTCCTTGCTGCGCGCAATGCCAAGCGGGCTGCCATCGAGTTGATGGAACGTGGGCCCGAGAGCATCCTTTCAACTGATGGTGGGAATGGTGGTGGCGACGTCGTCCATTATGACGGAGGGTTGGGTGTCCGTGGCGGCGATGTTATGGATCAGGATGGAGGGTTTGGTGTCCCGCTCGGGTTCCAGTCGTACCCTTTTGGACAGTACACATGATCGAAGTGCATCTATTCATTTTATCAAAATGTCCAACAAGCCTGTTTGAGCCTCACAATTCAATGGTGGTTGAGAACGCCGTGTGAGCGATTGCAACGCCTAAACGGGCCGGCCTGTCCTCGCCACACTGGCCATCAGCTTGCCATTTACTGCCGCTGACAATTCAATGGTCGTTTTTAAGACCCTTTGAGCCGCCAACAGCCTGGTGACATATTGTGGTCAATTTTGCCGATTTTGGCATTTTCAAGGTCCGGTAAGCCCTTGACGCTCGCTCCGTTTTTTGCTGATGCAATGGAAGTAACTAGAATATTCTACAAGTATCTACAATGTATGTGTATCTACAATGTATGTGTAATATCTGACTAATTAGACTTTGGGCTCATATAATCAACAGATATCACCCTCGATAAACGTTTATAAACACTCTTTCCGTTTTCTTGTCCGTTTTTGTTTTTACGATTTGGGTAAACACAAAAAAAAAATCAAAAAAAGTTGGAGCGGTGGGAGTTGAACGAGAGGGTCGTGCGAGCTCGGACGGCGTCATTTCGTGACGATATTTCCGCCAATCACCGCGTGGCGCCGATCAACGATCATCCGTCCTTCGTCCCGCCGTCCACCACCCACGGTCCATGGCTCTTCTCGCCCCGCCCTGTACATCTGCCACGCGCGCATACGCACGCGCGCGCGCGAGGGGGGGAGCTTATATGTGCGTGCCACACGTCCGCCCGCGTCAAAGCGCCGCGTCAAGGCTCACAAAGCGCTTTGACAAAGCGTCGACGCCGAGAAAGGGAAGGAAAGGGAAAGGACGCTTGGATTGTGGGAGGGGGGGCATGGGAGGCGTATAAGATGCGCGTGCGGCGGTGCGGGGGCTTCTTTTCCCCACCCGCATCTCACACTCCCAGAAACACGCACAGAAAAAATTGAGGAAAAGACAAAGAAGAACGACGACGGATGCCCGACATAGACAAGGAGAACACGCCCTCCCCACCGCGCCAGGCACACAGGGCGCGCAGAGAGGTCATCGCGGAGTTCGGGCACGGCCGCGCGCGCCTCCGGGTGCGCCCGGTGGGTGGCACACATACAGGCGAGAGGCGGACGCCCGAGGCCCCGCCCGGGATCGTGCACCCGCTGCGGCGGGCGGTGCACGCGCGGGACGTGGAAGGGGGAGCGGGGAGTGGGGAGGAGAGGGACACAAGCAATGGGAATGCGGATAAGAGAGACAACTTGAAGCCTGAGGGGACGGAGAAGGAGCCGCAGGCGAAAGAGCTGGTGCGCCGGGTGGACCCAGCGCCGGTCACGGTGAGTGGCGCGTTCTACACACCGGGCCTGGCTGACAATGATATCCAGAACCAGCGCTCAAGCGGGGAACGAGACTGGGGCGGCCCGTGGGATCGCCCGCGCGGTTCCACTGGGCAGCCCAGCAACCTGAATCGTCCGTGGCTGACGGTCCACGTCGCTCCGCATGCTGATCCCAACCCCGTGCAGCCAGCCCCGCGATTTAGGAACGGCATCGGCGGCGGCGGGTGGCATAACCCCGCAGCGAACCAATTGCACCAAAACCAAAACAACACAGACTACACCCATTTCCAGACCCACGCCCCGGCACCCCAGGCGCAGCTGCCCTTCCCGCACAACATCCCGCGCAACTTCCTGCGCGACATGCCATTGCCACTCTCAGGGGCCCTGTCGCTCCCGGCGTCCCCGCCCTTCCCGCCCTTCCCCGGCGCGCCCCCGTTCGCCCCCGGAGCGCCCGTCAACTTCGACGACAGCTACATGGACCCGGAGCCGGGCGCGTACGAGGCGGTGCTCCAGCGGTGCGTGCAGTGCGGGTACTTCAACTGCCAGGCCGTGCGCACCCTCGGCGCCGTCCCGTGCCCCCTCGACACCCAGCCCCAGGCCCCGGCGCAGTATCAGCCACAGATGAGTCCCCGGTTCGGATGCGGGCCGCGCAGCCCGCGCTTCCCGCCCCCACCGCACATCAACGCAGCGGACGCGTACGAGCCGCCCCGCCGGTACACCGTCCCGACGCTCCCCGGCCTCGCGTCGCCGCACCTTCTCCACCAGGCCGCGCCGCCCGCGCAGAACCAGCCCGTGACCACGCCGTACGGCCCGCCACCGGCCCCGGCCCCGCAGCAGCGCCGCCGGCTGTCCGTCCCGGAGGCCGTCCGCGCCGCGGCGAGCCGGTTGACTACCGCTCGGCCTCCGCCGCCGCTCGTTCTCTCGGCGCCGCCGGCCGAGGCTATTGGACCCGCCGCCGTGGCTCCAGCTGTCATTCCGCTTCACCAGCTGCGGCCCGCGCCGCGGCGCCGTGTGGCCCTGCGGCCCCCGCGCCACGCCCTCCGCTTCGCACAGCCGCCGCCCCCGCTGGTCGCAGGGACGCGCCTCTACCCGCACCTCGCGATCCCGCGCGCGCCGAACGCCGCCGGGTGGACGCACGCGAACACGGGCGGGTGCCGGCTCTTCCGCCTCGGCGTGGCGCACCTCGCGCCCGTGGAGGGGAAGGAGGAGAAGGAGGCGTAGCGGATGGATTGGTTGTCTATGTATTTAAATTTGGTCTACTTGGGTTTTGGGGCTCGTAGGATAGTATTAGGATCAGCAAGTAATGTATGTAGACTGTGACTGGAAATCAGTGTCTGTAGAATGACCCAGGGAGGGGAGTTCCTGCAGTAAGCCGCGCTGTTATCGCGCCCCAGTGTGGTTTCCGCGGCCAACGTCGTACTTGCTGTTTTTGGAATTTCTGCATATGGGGGGTAAATGGCATCCAGAAGGGCCCGGGTGGCCTCGCACTCCCACCGTCCACGAAGCCTTTTTCACCCGCCGGCGGCCCCAAGATATGTTAGCGGGTGGCAATAGGTGTCGGGCCGAAGGTCAGATGGACCGTCGACCGCGCCGGCGCCGCCGGATGAGGAGGATTGATAAGTATCTTTCTGGTGTGGGTTTTGGATCGACACTTTAAGCAATTTGCGTGTGCACAAATGATTGATGTCACTGGCAGGCTACAATGACACTCCGATTTGATCCAAGGAACGTGGGATGTCCGGCACACGTGTATTGATGCACTTTCGTGCCGAAATCAACACGAGTCCGGCAACGGCGCCTAATATCACGATGAAGATGCAGACACCAACTTCTTCTGGGCCATCAACTCCCGGGCTGTGGAGACGGGATGATACCTCCCAGCTGGATCTGTTTCTACAACAGCATCCTGGGCACTTGGGACCAGATCATATCCCATAAATCTGCTCGCTTGCGCATCTCATCAGCCCTGAGGCCTGACCAGGATTAAGATGCTTTACCTCACGGTATTATATGTGGGTACATTATGAATATTATGGGGTATATATATAATGTACAACAGAAGGATCCCTGGCCTGCACTTCTCCCCTTCAATGACCGCAACTGGGGCACTGCCACTTCAACCCATGACCCTTGATGCGAGGCCAACGCTTGGTATGCATAATTCACACACTCTCTGTATGTAGTTAACATATTGACAAGGCAAATTACAGGAGCCTTGCTACTTGGACTTGTGGGGTCCAGCCTTCTATTTGGGCTCCTCACTGGGCAGGAATATATGTACTACAAACAATTTCCTGCAGATAAAGTGACTCTGAAAGTATTTGTATGTCATGATTATTCAAAATCTTAATATCTGTTGATATTGATTATTAGGTTGCTCTGATATGGTAGGAGCTGCTCAAAGCCTGTGCTCAAGCAACATTGAGTGTAATAGGTTTCTAGAGCTCATCAAATTAATTGCTGTCATTCAAGTGGTCTACTTGTTCACAGTCATAGATTATGGACAGCCTGAAAGCTTGATCCATAAGATATCTCCTTTCTTTGCAGTATCCGGCTTCTTGGGATCATTCATCACTGGATTAGGTTTGTTATGCATTCCTGTTACAACACAATTTTTGCAGTAATCCTGATTCCTCCAAAGTCCAGGCATTTTCCTCCTTCTGAATCTGGACTCTTGCTCCAAACCCACTCTTTAAGATGTTATCTGTCCTTCTCTGGACAACAATTTCAGGCTTTATAATTTGCTCTATAGCAAATGTAGTTCTGGTCATTCAAGCTCCCACCATTCTGGTATATATTGAGCAGCACCCAACACTGCTCCTAGCCACTGCTATCATCAATCTATTTGATGATCTCATGATTACTATTTCACTGGTGGTAATTCTTGTCCTGAACCGTAGCACTGGTGTTATCAACACTAGCTTGTTGGTGGATCACCTGATCAAATGGACACTGGGTATGTTATTCTCAGGGAAACATACTTAATTTATGCATCAATAGAAACTGGGTTGACAACTAGTATCTTCACTTGTTTGCTCCTCAGCTTTGTAAGTCAATATTGCTTCAACCAAAATTTGCACCTTATGGTATAAATTGCAGTATGTCACCCAACCAGAAAATTGTAGGTGTGTGCCTCCCCTAAAAAGGGCAAATTTTGATCAAGGGTCTGGCAGTTGTCTGGGTTGTTGTCCAGATTATTCAATCACATGGTATGATATCAATACCATATCTCAGACAAGGGGCTACATAGTTTTTGCCAACACACTCCTGGCCTCCCTGAACTTAAGAGGAGCACTGCGTACAATTAACCATGCAGGCACTGTAGAAACATGGCCAAACACATGAAGAGGTGTTTGCACTGACTACTCAATGGAGTCTGTTTCATTAAGACCAAGCATAGTTTCCCCATCTTCATGTCTTCACATCAAGCTATAAATCCAATCTCCTGTAAAATCAAAGCAAATCAATGTTGTTCAGTGTTCTCGGGGTGTAGGGTGGTCGTGTGATGGATGACGTAAGCTTAGCTTGGTTCAAATCAAGGTCGTCGTCGTCGTCGTGGTCAGTAGTGGTGAGACCTAAAACCGCCCTCAGAGGTGCGTTCTATTCTGGGGCTAAAGCTACAATACAGCGCGAATATATTGCTAAGGCCGTCACAGCCTTACCCAATCACTGGCCACGGCTTCCGGTCACGTGCTCTCATTCTGAGACGGTTTCAACCGTTTGTTTTGTCTCATTCTGCTTCAATCTACCCCCTAATGCAGCCTGAGACGTCTCAAGCCTTCGCGTTTTGTGTCAGCAAGAGTTTGAGCTCATATGTGTCCCATATCATGTTTCGGGGCCTCCGGCCAGTCGCAGCCCGGTCCGAACATGTTCCACAGTAGGTTTGGGGGTCAAAAGCACCCCCAAGCGGTGCTTCCTGCTCTTTTCCCCCACCTACGTGTCCCGTGCTTGACAGTATAGATACACACAATTTTCTGTGTGGTGACATACTGAAATTATAATATTGACTTACAAAGTTGAGGAGCAGACAAGTAAAGATACTAGTTGTCAACCCAGTTTCTATTGATGCATAAGTTAAGTATGTTGCCCTGAGAATAACATACCCAGTGTCCATTTGATCAAGTGATCCACCAACAAGCTAGTATTGAATACCAGTGCTATGGTTCAGGACAAGAATTACCACCAGTGAAATGGTAATTATGAGATTATCAAATAGATTGATGATAGCAGTGGCTAGGAGCAGTGTTGGGTGCTGCTCAATATATACCAGAATAGTGGGGGCCTGAATGACCAGAACTACATTTGCTATAGAACGAATCGTAAAACCTGAAATTGTTGTCCAGAGAAGGACAGATAACACCTTGAACCATGGATTTGGAGCAAGAGTCCAGATTCGGAAGGAGGAAAATGCCTGGACTTTGGAGGAATCAGGATTAATGCAAAAATTGTGTTTGTGTTGTAATCAGTGTTGGCCTTAGGGTTTTAGGGCCTAAGGATTTAAGGCCTATTAGGGCCCTAAGGTTAGGCCCTAAATTGAACCAGGAATTTATTTAGGCCCTAGTTAGGCCCTATGATGGCATCAAAATCTTATGTAACATCTTACCTTCCAATAAAAACTCCCTTACAGAAAAGGATATAATGATTTTGGGTTGCCAATATGATCAACAAAGAATTCTGTTATCAGCTGGTGGCTTTGAGATTAGATGTAAGATAATATGCTAAGGAGGGTTGATATACTGCTGGCTGCCTATCACTACTAATGCCCTCTTAGAGCAGTACTAACCAACATTCATGTTTATCTATTGTAGGGCTTGGTTTATATAGGGGTGTTTGTAAACCGGTTTATAAACACCCCTGTTTTATATGTTTATAAACACCCTGGCTGGAAACCCCCTGTTTTATGGTTTCATATTAGTAAGCACCCAAAAAGGCAAGAAGCTAGCAAACCAGACTTACTTTACACCAATATTGCTTGTATATACTGCTAGTAGGTTTGATCATATCTTATAGGTCTATTATAATATATTATTTCTTATCAAGTAGGATCTCAACCCACTTTCAGCTAATATTGCCATATTGATCATGATTAATCCTCGTAACTATTGGGAGCTTGGGTGTGTGACTATACTATACTAACCATACAGATTAATTATTATCAAGGTTATCATGATTTTTAAGTGTTCTAAAGGATTCATGACAGGGGTTCTAAAATCTGCTGATAAGTAAATTATACATATTATATATAACTAATTCCTGTTATGCAAACTTACAAGTGATAGTTGATATAACCTTGCTGTTTCAACCCCTAATGTCTATGAATCTCAAAGTCATGAAGTTAAAACACCAAAATTTGCTGCAAAAAGTTTCCTGAAAAGGCAATTTTGATCTCTCCGGTCATATCGGCTCAGTTGGTTTATACAACCTAAAAACCGGTTTACACCGCCGGCATTTCATAGCCTCCCGGAATTCCGGGAGGCTACGGGCACCCTAACGCTCATGGCCTGCAACACCCGGAACAAGTCTTTCATGGTGAGTTGCTGGCCCGTGCATTTACCACGTGCATGGAATTGAGCCTCGAGCTCTTTGTCCTCTGAACACGATGACACGAAGGGACTGAAAGAGATAGTCTGTCTTTCTTTCAGACTATCTCTTTCAGTCCCTTCGCCATCCTACCAACTTGCTTTGGCCACAATGGCACGAACATCTCAGGCTGCTTCAAAGCCAGCAAAAAGACGTCCTCACTCAAGTGCCGACAAACATTCTTCTTCGAGCACTGCCAAGACTGCCGAAAGCTCAGCGCATACTGCGATGGAGGAAGACCAAGGGCCAGAAACCTCAGCTTCGGGCTCAGGCTCAGGCTCAGGCTCAGGCTCGGGCTCTTCTCACAAGCGCACACATGAAGACATGGAGGGTGGGGAAGGTGGGGCGGGCAGTGAGCACAGGACAGATGAGCAAGAGCTGGGTGCTGGAAGGGAAAGGGATAGGTCTGGGTCAACGCCACGAGCAAGCAAACGGCAGAAGACAGCAAATGAAATCGAGGAGGAGGAGGAGAGGGCAGCGAGGAAACGACGGAAAAGGCGTTCCCAGCTTGAGCGCATTGCAGATGAGGAGTTGAATCCCTCACAGCGGTCAATCCAGGTATGTTTCCTACGGCATTCTATTGTATCTAACTATGCATAGCGAGGTTTAAATACAGTTCTGCATATCCTCCTGGGTATGAA